CTCCATTTATATGGTATAAGTGCCTATACTGGCTCAGTTTACTTTATTTATATGGTATAAGTGCCTATACTAGCTCAGTTTACTCCATTTATATGGTATAAGTGCCTATACTGGCTCAGTTTACTTTATTTATAGTTTATACTGTCATCTTATAGTCACAGTATCATAGTTTATACTGTCATCTTATGGTCACAGTATCATAGTTTATACTGTCATCTTATTGTCACAGTATCTTAGTTTATACTGTCATCTTATGGTCACAGTATCATAGTTTACACTGTCATGTTATAATCTCAGAATCATAGTTTATACTGTCATCGTATAGTCACAGTATCATAGTTTATACTGTCATCTTATGGTCACAGTATCATAGTTTACACTGTCATGCTATAATCTCAGAATCATAGTTTATACTGTCATCTTATAATCACAGTGTCGTAGATTATACTGTCATCTTATAGTCACAGTATCATAGTTTATACTGTCATCTTACAATCACAGTTTGTACTGACAACCTATTGTTACATACTGTATCTCGCGGTTTAAATTTACAACCTACTCTCATTTACTATATCCTTAGTTAATACTGACAACCTACCGTCATTTACTGTATCCTGCAGTTAATACTGACAACCTACTGTCATTTATTGTATCCTGCAGTTTATACTGACAACCTAATGTTTCAGCTGTCTTTAAAGTTTACGATAATTGCTTTCAGTCACAAAACTGTACTTCTTTTAATGAACTACAGCCTGTTGTTAAAATTGACAATTTACCTACACTTTATTGGAAATACCTACCGTTAACACACCCTCGGTGCTCTAAAACTTTACCGGAAGGGCACACATCGCACTTCATTCCCTTGACTTTAGGTTTACATACACATCTACCTGTGGTTTGTTCACAGTCGTCTCGAACTGATCCGTACTCGTTACAACCACAAGCTAGAAGGAACACGTACACTTACTGAAACAATAACTCAAAGCACTTACTGTTTACAACTCTTTGCTTACCAAAACCTAAATTTAAAATCAAAATCATTGTTCATTGATTTTTGGAGAATTATATAATTAATCTTTATAGAATTACTTGTGTTTCACTCACAAAGAGAAGCTTTCATAACAAACTAAGATTTGTTTATTAGGAAATTCTCTTTTTTTTCTTCTTTAACTTGAAGCTGTTCTTATTGTACATTTTGTTTTCATGACAGAATCAATATTTTTATTTCAACTGTTAACCTGAGGTAAATGTTGGAGCTGCTATCCTGTAGTAAAACCTAAAACTATTATTCTTTCGCAAGCTTTGAAGCTATAATACTGAAGTAAAACCTTGAAGCTGTTATCCTATAGTAAAATTGGAGATGTTATTCTGTAGGAGAACCTGAAGCTGTTATCCTGAAGTTAAATCATGATCGGTTATCCTGAAATAAATGTTGGATCTGCTATCCTGTAATAAACCATGGCTCTGTTATCCCGTAGTAAACCATGTGTTTTTTATATTGAAGTAAACCCTAGAACTGTTAGCTTGTAGTAAAACCTGAATCAGTTATCTAGTATTAAACCTTTGATCTGCTATCCTGTAGTAAATGTTGGAGATATTAGCATGCAAGAAAAATTGAAACTGTTATCCTGATATAAAACTTGGATTTATTATCCTGCAGTACATCTTGGATTTGTTATCTGAAATAAATCCTGAAACTGTTATATTGATGTAAACCTTGGATATGTTATTCTGTAGTAAAACCTGGATCTGCTTTCTTGAAGTAAAAAGTGGATCTCTTATATTGATGTAAAATTTGAAGATGTTATTTTGAAGAAAACTTTCACTACATACAGGTTTTATCTCAACGAAAGGCAGCTCAAACCCAAAAATATATTTGAGTTCAAACGAAGAGAGAGAGAATATAAATATCATAAAGAACGTGTAATGATTTCGATAATAAAAAAGTCAATAGCTGAGAAGGTGGATGTATCTCTGACAAACAACAACAACTTATACTTACTAATTTCTTTAACTAACATTATCCTATAAAGAACGTGGATGTATCTCTGATAAACAACAACTTATAATTACTAATTTCTTTAACTAACATTATCCTATAAAGAACGTGGATGTATCTCTGACAAACAACAACTTATAATTACTAATTTCTTTAACTAACATTATCCTATAAAGAACGTGGATGTATCTCTGACAAACAACAACTTATAATTACTCATTTCTTTAACTAACATTATCCTATAAAGAACGTGGATGTATCTCTGATAAACAACAACTTATAATTACTCATTTCTTTAACTAACATTATCCTATAAAGAACGTGGATGTATCTCTGATAAACAACAACTTATAATTACTCATTTCTTTAACTAACATTATCTTATAACGAATTACTTACGTATACATCCACTGTTTCCGTCAGCAATTTTGTGAATACCCCAGAACCCAGGATCACATCGGTCACATCGGAGACCCCCGACCCCAGGCTTACACGAACACTGTTTGGTTTTAGGGTCACAAGTCTGGCTGTACGAACCGAGGCGGTTACAGCTACATACACCTACGAAAGACGGAGAAACAAGGTCAGATGTTTTTGTTATTTGGGTTCCTTATCTCTTTCCTCAAGAAATAACATTGTTCTCTAAAGTTGCATATCTTCAGATTGAGGCACAATAACCCCACCAAATATTTGACAAACTACTACCATTCTCATTTGGTTTTTCATCTCGCATTAAATGTACGACACTAAAGTATATTTTTCCACGTGCAATTAAAAGTGGACATATAAAAATTATGTAGAAACTCACCACGAAGAAGTGTCCCACATAATTAACTTTTCAAATCGTTGAGTTTTCTTTCTTACGACAAGGCACTTTGGCTTAAACCTTCTTCCTGATTATCCATAGTTAAATAAAGTGCTGATATTAAGTATTGAGACACAGTTGTTAACTATCTTTCTTATCCCGAATGGATAAAATTGATTCTTTCAAAGAGGTAAAAAAATCGAAATAATATTTTGTTACGTTAATTTCCACATTTAACAAGGGATTAATTTACCTTAGTGTAGTTAACAAAATATATATGAAGGTATACGTACTCGGACAGCCAGCCTTGTCATGCCCTTGAGCTTGAGTTTTTCCGTCAAGACAACAGCCATATGGAGAATCAGCACACGTCTTTATCAAAGCCACTAAGAATATGTTTTTACATTTAGTATAGGATTTAATTCAAACAATTTGACAATAAACTTAACGTAATAGATTTAATTCAAACAGCTGGACAATAAACTTAACGTAAAGGATTTAATTCAAACAGCTGGACAATAAACTTAACGTAAAGGATTTAATTCAAACAATTTGACAATAAACTTAACGTAATAGATTTAATTCAAACAGCTGGACAATAAACTTAACGTAAAGGATTTAATTCAAACAGCTGGACAATAAACTTAACGTAAAGGATCTAATTCAAACAATTTGACAATAAACTTAACGTAAAGGATTTAATTCAAACAGCTGGACAATAAACTTAACGTAAAGGATTTAATTCAAACAGCTGGACAATAAACTTAACGTAAAGGATTTAATTCAAACTGCTGGACAATAAACTTAACGTAAAGGATTTAATTCAAACAGCTGGACAATAAACTTAACGTAAAGGATTTAATTCAAACTGCTGGACAATAAACTTAACGTAAAGGATTTAATTCAAACAGCTGGACAATAAACTTAACATAAAGGATTTAATTCAAACAGTTGGACAATAAAGTTAACGTAAAGGATTTAATTCAAACAGCTGGACAATAAACTTAACGTAAAGGATTTAATTCAAACTGCTGGACAATAAACACAGAAGGGTTTTACATCTAAGAAATGCTGTATAAATATAAAAAAGGTTTTACCTCTAAAAAATGGTGTATAAATACAAAAAGGTTTTACCTCTAAAAATGCTGTACAAGTACAAAAAGGTTTTGCCTTTAAAAAACTCTATAAATACAAAAAGGCTTCCCTTGTAAAAATGCTGAAAAAACACAAAAAGGCTTTACCTCTAAAATGCTGTATAAACATAAAACGTTTTTTACCTTAGCTACGCTAGAAATTCACATATCACAATAAACAACAAGGTTCGTGTGTTAACTGCATGTCTTGTAAGTTTAAAAGAGCTTATTTCTCCCAAGTTTTAGTTACAGAATGGAATACTGCGTGACCCAAGCATTAAGCATAATGAGATAAAACGTATTACAAACATCTACCCATTAACAGAGATAATTTAAGGAAGTGAAAAGTTAAGCTGGAAAACACAATTAGGATGAACTTCATTTCGAAGAGTGTTGACAATATTAAGAAATAAAATATTCTGAATTACCATTATTCTTGAACGTGAGAAGGAAGTTAAACAAGAGAACAGGTCCGTAATGAAGATGAGTTTTTAGAGAAAGTTTGTCCAGAAGAAGTAAATGGAATGAACTTCATTATTGCCTCACTTTAATATTGTTTTATTAGATTTCGCCTGGATTATTATAAAACATATATTCATACACACAACTGACTGTTATTAAAACTTTGTTATCGTGTTTTAAATAACGTAATTCTAAAAGCAGACGACATAACAACAACATAAAAAAGCATCTCCTCATCTCAGAATAGACTGAACTACAACCACAGCGTCGCTGGTTGGCTTCACCTTTCCTGCAGCATTTGGCAAAACTTGGAGTTTCGTGGCAATAGCTGTTAGGGGGACAACGTACAGCATTGGACCCGCCACCACAGACGTACTCAATCTTAAGGAATGGGTCCACTAATGGAGCCTCTCCATCGCAAGGCAGCTCCGAAGGTTCTGAAATATTATCAATATATGATATAATGTCACAGTTTCTGTACTATGTCGATCGAATGTTACCAACATAAAAATATTGTCAGTCTCTGTAACATGTCGATCTGATGTCACCAACACATAAAAATACTGTCATAATTTCTTTACCATGGCGATCTAATGTTACCAACATATAAAAATAACGTTATAACTTTCTGCAATATCTCGATAAAATGTTACCTTGATATGAATATAACGTCATAACTTTCTGTAACATGTCGTTAAAGTACTACCAACGTATAAAAATAATTTTATAACGTTTTGTAACATGTCGATTAAATGTTACCATCATATAAAAATAATATTATAACTTTCTGTAACATGTTGATTAAATATTACCATCATATAAAAATGATATCATAACTTTCTGTAACTTGTTGATTAAATATTACCATCATATAAAAATGATATCATAACTTTCTGTAACATGTTGATTAAATATTACCATCATATAAAAATGATATCATAACTTTCTGTAACATGTTCTGTACTACGTTGTTTATATTGTTGTTAGAATTCCAATATTTTACTGTATTATAGTACTGTATTGTAGCTTACAATAAACAGCACATGTAATTGTGAAGAATAGTACTACCCATATTCTTGTGATCATGTTACGTATAAAATAATACCCAGACTTTGATTATTATTTAACGTACTCCAACATACACATTTTTATTATCATGTTACATGTAAAATCATACCCAGACTTTGTTTATCATGTTACATATAATATAATACCCAGACTTTGATTATTATTTAACGTACTCCAACATACAAATTTTAATTATCATGTTACGTATACAAACACCTACATTTTGATTATTATGCTACGTATACCAACGCTCAGATTTTGATCATTTTAAATATCTGAAACCCGAACTGCGGGCGCTTTTTTCGGTGTTGGGTTGCGACCAATGAAATGTTGAATACAAAGTCCGAGCAAGAAAATCCATGAGCTTTTCTATATACAAGGTTATGACCTGTGAAGCAAAGACTTGACAGGTGGTACTGAGAGCAAAACGCGGGTTACATTTTTAGACCTGAAGTTTATTAGGGTAAGTGCATATTACTCATCGTACACAAAATAAACACTTCTGAAATACAATAGTTATTGGGACGATCCCCTTTGATGCAGCAACAGCTTGAATATAACACGAAGAGATACTGATACCAATCAAATAGTTTTATAATATTCAATATTTCAAATAACAATAGAAAAACCGACGTTGAAATTGCTATTTTTACGTTAGGGCAACTTTTGTCGTTATCTTGATAAAATCAGAAAATAGGATACAATTTCTTGTGAATAAACTCACCTGCACAGAACTCTCTGGATACAGTTGTGATTTCCTGCTGAATTTTACAAGCAGATTCTCTTAGAAGACATTCGTTATCGTACAAATGTCTGTCAGAACCACACACAGGCTCTTTATCTGTTGAACAGTGAAAGTCACAAACACAATGGGGCAAACCACGAGAATCGAACTCACACACTCCATCTAACTGACAAAGTTTGTCTCCACAGGATCCGGAACCTATATCTAGAAAAGTATACAGACTCTATACTGTTTGTTGTTGTTCAAAACTTCGTACTTACAAATATTCTAATGTGGTATATTTCTCAGGTTTAGACTAATGCCAGCAACCCGCTCCTCATTTAGACTAAGTTCAGATAACTCACCTTTCAGGTTTAGACTACAGTCAAATAGCCTAAATAACCCGCTCCTCGTTTACCAGCTATAGACTAAAGTCGAATAACCCGCTCCTCATTTATCAGGTTTACACTAAAGTTAGACAATCCACTTCTTATTTATTAGGTTTACACTAAAGTCAAGTAACCCGTTCCTCATTTACTAGGTTTGTACTAAAGTCAAGTAACCCGCTTCTCATTTATCATCAGGTTTAGACTAATGTCAAATAACCCGCTCCGCATTTATCATGTTTAGTGACTTTAATGTAAACCTAATAAATAAGGAGTGTATTGTTTGACTTTAGTGTAAGCCTGATAAATGAGGAGCGTGGTACTCGACTTTAGTGTAAACCTGATAAATATTTAGCGGATTGTTTGAATTTTATGTAAACATGATAAATGCGGAGCGGGTTATTTAACTTTAGTCTAAACCTGATAAATGAGGAGCGGGTTATTTGACTTTAGTCTAAACCTGATAAATGAGGAGCGGGTTACTTGACTTTAGTGTAAACATGATAAATGCGGAGCGGGTTATTTGACATTAGTCGTAACCCGTTCCTCATTTACTAGGTTTGTACTAAAGTCAAGTAACCCGTTCCTCATTTACTAGGTTTGTACTAAAGTCAAGTAACCCACTCCTCATTTCCAGGGTTAGACTGATTACCTACCAAGTACAAACTTATTCATCTTTTTGACATTTAAGGTTTACAATGTGATTGAAGTCTATTAAAGCCGAAACCAAAAACTTATGAATAATTTATGAGGTAAGAAAATAAAAAATGGATTGATCCTTTTATTCTCCACATTTGTGACGTATAGTATAATCTACCTGAAGCCTACTCTATTCGTAATAATACTTTTGTCATTACAATCTACAGTGTTTCTTAAGAAAGCTCGTGATACGAGTAAGAAAACATTTTCAATTTAAATGTCCAGAAAGACGTCGCGTGTCTTACTATATAACAGAATTTGATATTACTTTCACGTTATTGTTGTTTTGTGCTTGAAATAATAATAATAATAAAACATTTCGATTCGAGCAAATGACGCATTATCTTCTCGGTACTCACGAAAAAAAAAAAGACGTCTTCTTGTATGATAAACATTATAGAGATTTTGTCAGTTTAAATACGTCGTAATGACGCGTCTTCTATAGTTTGTAAATGATTTATTTTTCTATCCCCCTATTAAGATAGTAAAGCAACCAGGATAAACACTTTAATATACCACACGACTTGTAAAAAATAACTTACTTTGCTTGATTCAACAAGATGGAGAAAAAACACAAACTTTTCTGTATCTTAAATCCTATGGACATTGGTAAGTTATTTACGGTCATCCTTGACCACTAACCATACGCTAGTCTTGATGGAAGTTTAGTTAAAAGTCCGTTTATCTGTCTATCTAATTGAAGCACGAAATATAAAGTTATGATTATGTGATTCTCAGAGAGTGCCAGTTACGATGAGATTAGTAGGATATAAAATACAATAGATAACATTTTGTTCCACATCAGTTTATACTGTTGTTGTCTGCTCCACAAATATACCTTAGAAATCATAAACCAAGGTTCAATAAACGAAGTCAGTTGACGGTTGGAATTGTCATTTCATGTTCTTTGACCAGGAATTATATTCAGTTGTACTCAAGAAAAATGAACGTTTACTTAGAGAGATTGGAAATAAACTCGACTTTTGTGTTCGTTGGAGTCATAATTTGTCATTAGTGCTATCCATAACTTGTGTGCTAAATATCAAGAGTTGTGAATTTCACGACACCTACAATCCGAATAACTTCTCACACGATCAAAACATACGACATTCAAACCTAGTGTGTCACAAACACAAAATCATATATCTGAATATTCTAATCTAGTTATGTCACAAATACACGATCACGATTTACAACATTCTAATCTAGTTGTATCACACACACACGATCATGACTTACATCATTCTAATCTAGTTGTGTCACAAGTACAGAATCATAATTCAAAACATTATACTCTAGTTGTGTCACAAACATACGATCGTTACTTGCAACATTCATAAGCATAAAATCATAAATTTACGATATTTTAATCTACTTGTGTCACAAGCACAAAATCATAACTTATGACATTCTAATCTAATTGTGTCACAAGCACAAAATCACAATTTACAACATTCTAATCTACTTGTGTCAAAAGCTCATCTTACCTAAGCCTGAGCCACCCACGTCATCACATTCACTATAGAACAGAGCTTTAAGCTCCTGTGCCTGTTGACATGCTGCCCGACGCATTTCGCAGGTGTTAGCATAGCTGGATCCGTCGTTGGCACAGACCGGTTCGTAAGTATCCGGGCACTCTGAGGGACAGACGCATTGACCATTCTCACATCGAGCCCCATACTTGCAGTAAACGTCCTTACACAAATCTGGTGGATAACAAAACAACATTACAGCATATCCCTATGATACATAATGAATTTTTAAGAACAATATTGCTACATGTCCCTAAGATACGTAGTGCGTCTCTGAGAACAATATTGCTACGTATCCCTAAAATACATAATAAGTATCTAAGAACAATATTGCTACATATCCATAAGATACATAATGAGTAACTGAGAACAACATTGCTACATATCCCTAAGATACATAATGAGTATCTGAGAGCAATATTGCTACATATCCCTAAGATACATAATGAGTAACTGAGAACAACATTGCTACATATCCCTAAGATACATAATGAGTATCTGAGAGCAATATTGCTACATATCCCTAAGATACATAATGAGTATCTAAGAACAATATTGCTACATATCCCTAAGATACATAATGAGTAACTGAGAACAACATTGCTACATATCCCTAAGATACATAATGAGTA